GTCATTATTTTTCTAATCGTCAGTGCGACACCACAAAGACAAAATTTTGCTCAAATTAAAGAAAAATCTATGCAACACATCGTCCCGATAATATTTGATCGGTAAAACATGTGAGCGACATTTGCTAAGTATTGTAGATGATTGGGGAAAGTAAAGCGATATAATGTAAATAACTAAAAAAATTTATGTCAGTGACGTAAAATCAAATAGTTGCAACTTTTAACTAAGAAGAAAAGACAGAGGACATTCTAGTTTATTACCAATGTATTTCCATTTTTCTTGCCTTTTAAAACGTGTATTTATCAAAGCATAAAGTTCAGTCAATCCGTATCGGACGATTCAAAAGCTTCTGACAAAATATACATGTTCTCATATGGCCAACCGTTTTTCTTTGTAAATCGCTAAGACACCGTTTCTATATCCAAGGATCTAGCTATTGTCAATTAATATATATTATAAAGCTCAAGTTTTATAAGGATCAAACAAGTGCAAAAGTAGGCAGGATTGTTTTGCAACCACCGGCCAAATTTGCAGAGAAAGTTCAACAGTACTTTTTTATCTTTTAAATTCAAAATGTGTGATAACGCATTATTTAAACTGATTTTACTGCGCACGCACACATACGTAAATGTTGATCGGTAGGCAAAAACGTCGTTGCCCATAAATCCTATTCAATTTGGGATGATTTGAAATAAAATTAGAAGTCTTATTTACTTGTATTTTCAAAAACTGCAATAACGGTATATCATTTATATATTTCAACTTTAAAATTTGGCTATTCTGAAAAATAACTCTGTATAAGGCATACGACCAGTAGTGATGTCGAGTCGAATATAAGAATTATTAATATCTCGTTTCTCATCACAGTAGCACTACCATACCGGATATAAAATACCCAAGCCAGAGCAACGCTCGTTTATTACAACTCCTATAACTATTAAAGTTGAAATCTTCCACATACATTTCTTTTTTTTAATGCATTTTTCAGTTTTTCTTAACACCGCAGACAGCTCACAACGGTTCCTTTACTATTTGGTACAACTGGATATATCAAAACAACATTCACGACTACAGTACAATACATGTAAAACTAATATAATAAAAAAATGACGTTTTAGTACGAGAGCGATAGTTCCGATTGGCTGTTGGATAATTAAGTGGCGGATAAATAAAAAAATCGTCATTAGGGAATTTAACTATTTACTTTCTCATAAATCGGAAATTTATCCGAGAATTTCATGGAAATATCAGCATACGCTTTCGAGAGACTACTAACAAATATAAAAGATAAGAATAGTAGGGTAGAGAGTACAGTAGGTATATCACTATAGTAGTATTTACTCGAATGAACATATCATCATAAATTTCTTTAGACTTTAATAGAAAGACTGCAGTAAATATGAAGTATGAACATACGACATTTTTTCAGCAAACGTTCTTTTACACACAGTGATTTTCACGCGACGTATTGCTGAAACAAATTTAATTTTAGAACAAACGAGTAATATTAAAATAATGACCTCTCGATTTTTTGCGTTCGAAAACTTTAAATGCTATTATAGTTTGGTGTTGTTGAAAGTACTTCAATATATAAATGCACATACCATGATTGTTACATAAACATGTTTGAGTGGAATTATTATGAGAGAAGTGGCAATAAATTTGGTGAAGAATAAAATCTCATTTTTGTCCTTAGATAGCGACATGACAGAAGTAACTAAGAAACAAAAAACAAAAATAACTAATATACAATATAAGGATACTCGTTATACAACCTTTTTATACCTGACACCGAGCTATATCACAATTTAATTAAGAAACTTGGCCGACTTACGTTTCTTGAAATCACTTCTACCCTTTCTAATCAACTTAAATAACATTGATTCTCTTCGAGACGTCAACACCCACACCTCTATTACAGTCCCTAATGGTAAGAACAGAGTAGTAACAGAGGTTACAGTAATAAAAATACTAAGAAGTAAAAAAAAACTCAATGAGAAAATTATAATTTCAGCTACTTTTTTACACTATGTACAATGTTACTTTAACTTAAACGAACAAAAGAACGTAACGAATGTCTAGTCTACATTCCAAAATTAACCTATAATTAGAAACTTGTAAAATCGAATTAATTTTTTAAAGTCTACGGAGACTCAGTTTAACTCTTCATTAGTGTGTTGCCAACTAAATTAAATCTTTTGTTCTGAAATCACTTATTCTAAATTGTATTTTTATTATTTTTTCATTTCATATTTAAAAACACCTAACTAGTCATCATGGATCATAAGAATCGTCGTAACTGTTTGTTACTATGTTAGGATTTTTGCTGACAGAAAATTAAATTGTACTATTTAACATACTAAAATGAATAGCGAGTCGAAGTCAACCCTTTCCTACATTAGATTTCAATTAATACTAAAAGTATTAAGAAAATTTGTTAAAATTAACATATTTAAAATTCAAAGAATTTTTTATATGACATTTGTGTATTTAGATATTACCTAAATAAATATTTTCAGCTCAATCCCAAAGATTTCACTAATTTCGCTATGGTTATAATGTGGTCTGTTTATCATCAACTAAATTATCGTAAATAAAATAAAAAACACTCATCTGACACTTAAAATGTTCATAAAACTATCAATACAATCATATGCTATACACATATATTGCCATCGAAGATTTAGCGCGTAAGGATGTGTGAAACATACTATAAATCCAGACGCGCCCGTTGGCGAAAACAAATTCTTTAATTAGCGCCGGTATCAAAACTATAGTTAACATTTAGTACGATTTTTTTTTATTTTTTAAACATATATTTTTTTAATCGCACAAATGGATTCACCGCTAGGTTTGATAGACTGTAAATTACAAATTTATATTAAACAAAACTTATGCGTCTTCAGACGATTTACAGAAATTACTACTAACGTCAAAATCATCAAAACTACACTTTGTTAACAATGCAGCCTTGATTTTAAAATCTCACTGTGCTTCATGAACGCTTGAAAAAAAATATTCATTTGTATACAGTTCTTGCAATTGACGACTGCGGTCGACCTTTGGATGTGGTTCGACATGTGCATGCACACTGTGCATGTAACATGTTGAACCACATCCAAAGGTCAAGCGCACTCATCAATTGCTAGAACTATACCAGTTAATTTACAAGCGCAGAAACCTGATCTCTATACACATTTTATGTAGAAGTCAACTGTTTCAATCATTAGTAAATTACACATTGAGAGAAATAGCTTTTCTGTACAATTTATAATTAGCAGTAGTCTACGGTACTACGGCACGATTTTGGCTCACGATCTTAAAAAAATCTTTCTAACATGGTATATATATAAATCTAAGTCAAATTATTGCTTGCGTTAAATGTTGATATATTTTTTTAAATCCTTTGCAACAATAGGTTCGATTTCAATATTTAGTCAGCCAGCAAAATATTTACACATTTGGTGGTGGCGAGTAATATTGGATAGTGATAATCACTAATATTACTGTATTATTCGATACGGGAGTATATAAGCTTATTCCAAACATCTTTACTTAATTTATTTATAATTATCACATGTAGCACGAAAATAATTTGATTAGTAAAACTAAATTTGTACTGTAAAAATAAAATTTGGTATAATTTGTAGGTAGACTTCACCTCTGTTAATTGTCCTTCATAAGGTTTATCAAGCAGTTACATTAGTTACATTTATTAAATATACATATTTTATCTAATTCAAAATTGTTCTATTTTACTTGAATAACAAATATATAAAAAGAAAATTTATAATTTAAATTTAGATATTTAAATGAACGCCATATTTCCCACGAGTAACAAGACGTTACCCAAGAAGTTACCCAAGAGTAACATTTGCTTTAGTTGAATTACAAAAAGATTTCAATTTACACTGAATATATAAAAATGAAACTGAGAAGTTTTGCATTATCTCTTATTGTCATAATACAATTTAGTGACAACTATATAAATATGAATAAAGTGAATATTAAAAGAAAATCAATTCAATTATATAAGCGATGTCAGATTTAATTAATTATCCAAAAGTATGTTTATATTTTAATTCAAAATATAAATTATTAAAATGACTGGTTCGGAATTATAATTAAAGTATTACTTTTAAACTAAGAAAGTTTTACAGTTAGTAACAAATCGTCACATAGTATTTATCTATTATAATTATGTACAGTCATAGTCATAAATATAGGAAATTTCCAAACTTTATATAAATTTGGTTGTAAAATTCTCTGTAATTTTAAAGAACTACCCGAGAGGGTATTTTAATAGAAAAATTTAACATTTTTAACAGAAACATATTTGTTAGTGATATACAAAAGCTGAATTTGTAATGTTTCATTGGGGGTTAAATCTAACTATCTTAGAATCGTCTAAACACTTGAGACAGCCTTTATTTATAAAAGATTAATAAGAAAAACTGTGCAATTTATGTTCATGAGCAAAGCTAAGACTGTAAAATGAATTATAGAGATTTGATCATACACATTTTTAGTAAAGCTATTTGAAAAAAAGCCGACTTAAATATATTTAATATAATCCCAGTTTAGTTTAATGTTTTAGAAATCTTAGCCACGCCCATTTTTTTTTTTGTGAAAATCCCGATTATCACACGGCAAAGAACGTCCCAAAGCGTTCCAAATAGTGCAGCATAAACACCATCATACAACCAGAGAGATATTAAAGAGTAGGGAATTCAACTTAAAAAGGTTTTCTCTTATTTGTAAGCAAAATATATCAATATTATATAGTGTCTCTGTGTTTATTTAAATCACCAGCATCGACGCGCACGTTCCGTAGTCAATAATACCTCTATGGACACAACAAGCGAGCCAAAACCGACCGTCTGACACAGAATAAAAGTGGGAATAGTGAAAAATCATTATTACACTACACTAGTGAGGTCCGTAAGTTGTTGTTGAGGAACGGCGACACACGTAGCGCTATGGCGGCTGCGGGAGTGACGTCACTTGCCCGCGTGCCCGTTCCCCAGTGTTGGCTCGATGACCTGCAATACGAGCGACGTAGTGAGCGCACAGCCGTGTGTCGTCGTTCCCAATGAGGCTGGAAGTACTGACGCTAGGCGGGGGTCGAAATTAATTTACAAAATTTACTTTTACAGGCTACCGTCCCACACAGGCCAGCCTACAGCCTCCCAACTGGTAGTCTCTCAAAAATAAACCACCGCCACGCGTCCTTTATTTACATTCGCAGTTCAGATTGGTTGATTTGTATAAAAACTAATTTAACTTTACAAACGCAATCGGAACTGTAAATTTAGCCCGCCACCAGTTTTGCCAAGCGAAATCCCAGCGATTATAGTGATTGCAATCCACAATTAAAAAAGGAATCTCCCATTCCAAATTTAAATTTTAAACTTTTCTCCAATTCCGTGTCATTGCAACGGTAGTTTTCGAGCCCCATAAGGTTACGATATACACAGCTGCGCGCAAGCTATTATTTAGCTGTTACATTTTAAATTGAAAAAAATATATAAACACAGTAACATTAATGAAAATTACGATAGGAATAACACATAAAAATAATCTGAACCGAACGAAAAAGATAAAGGTTACTCTGCAAAAAAATAACAGCCAAACCAGTAGCAAATACACATGTAAAAATCAGGTTTCTCTCACAGACCATTTTAAATAAAATCATAAAGCCTTATTCACACATGCAATTGTCCTCAGCAACTTCAAAATTGACAGTAAACCGAATAATTTCCAATGGCGACGGATGTGACACCAGTGATTTCTGAAGTGGTGTTAAACGAGATGTACACTTAAACTCTATATATATTCTACACAGTAAGTACAACAGTGGAAGAAAAATTCTTGAATAAATATATAAGTTTTATTGTAACAGTTCAAATCATAATATTTAAGATTTCGTGAAGTCAACAATGCAATAAGTATAATTAAAATAACAAATTATTTGAATTGTTTTACAAGTTTAGAAAACAATTTGTTCTAAAAAACACAGTCGGCGGTAGCAATCACACATAACATAAAACTTCTAACAATTTTAACAACAGCCCGCCTGCTTAACTAAAAAAAAGACCTAGCGTACTATATGTTTTCTTAAATTTACGCAGAGTACGCATTGAATAAAATTATTTTTAAGGATTTTATCTTGCTTAATTTTATATTTTTATTCCCGACGTTTCAGGTGCTTTACATCATTCATAATTAAGGGAGGGATTGTGTTTGACGCCCTGATTAATATTTAAACGTTGAACTTTGCCTTAGTTAATTATTACATTAGGACGTCGAATATCTCAGTCTATGTATGACTATGGGTGTGTATGAAGTCAGGAATAAAAAAGTTAAAATTAAACGCGATAACATCCGTAAAATTTCTTATTCAATGACTTAGCATACTAAATAGAATCTATAATAGGTTGGTATCAAATTTTAAAACGTTTCAGATAGTAAGATACGGTATACATTTTTTTAATTTTACAGTTATTATCTTTAACCTGTTTGCTGTTCTTTCTGAGCTAGCAGGTTAAATGCCATTTTGAAAGTAAGTGTGTACATTACACAGTTCGATATGCTAAATACAAACGCCAAATACTTTAATTACCAATTCAATAATTAAATACCATTTAAAGAATAACAACATTTAAAAATTTGACACGATTTCTATTGCTTTTTTATTTTTAAAAACTTTGAAAGTTGAATGAAACGTCGCAAAAATAAAACCTATGGAAATTTTTATTTTTTAATTATGTACATAAACAGTTATCAATATTAATCTCATATAATTATTATTCAATTTACAATATACATTACTATTTTTTCGTAACTACATAAAAACAGGAGTAATATAATCTATAATATTATAACAACTATCTTAAGTACTTTTCCAGTAAATACATCTAAAAATAACGAGTGCCTAATTGCAAATATAGAGTAAAATGGTAACGACGATGGCACCAGTGTAAAAAGGTATGTATCGTTTAATATGAATGAATATTTACAGATGTTATAGATAAGTTCACTATCGTCCAATGCTCTCAATTAGAAAGTAATCGGCATAAATAATTTTTTGCAAAGCATCGCTGAGCGCTTTTTGGCTCAACCCTAAAGAGACCCTGTAAATATATTCTATATTTTATTTTCACTATTCTTGAGCAAGCATTAAACTTATTTGCCTAATATGAATCTTAAATACAAGAGTCTAAATAGAAATGAAATTAAAGCTGATGTGGTAATGTGTTCAGTGGTTTAAATGAACTTTTATAAAAATATTAAAAAGAAATCAATTTGTGTAAGTAAAGGCATGTAAATAAATAACTAAGAAAATAATTTGCTAGGAGAAACCTATTAGAGAAAACAACTATATAATAGTTATACAGTATATTACACATTTGACACAACTTTGTATTTATATAATAGATATATAACAAATACACAAACATAACAATCCCATTTGATCTAATATACTTGAACATAATATTTTCTACTAAAATTAATTCGTCGTTAATATTATATACATTTAATTAATAAATGACAGTATATATATATATATATATATATATATATATATATATATATATATATATATATATATATATATATCATTTACATTTGACATATATACAAATAAGCAACATCAATATGCACAAACTATCCTCTATTATATGGAATGTCATGTTAAATTTTCAAAATTTTATAATTATGTAGCCTTTTAGGATTTTAGTCTGGTCTAACTTTAAGTCAGACCGGGGATATATAAATACTATGTATTAATTTTATAGTTATCAAATATAGTACAGTGATTCCAAAATAATTGCGCGGGCGAGTTAAGAAAATTATCGGTTCCCCCCGCCCTCTACAGAACACCCTCGCACCGTTACGGAGATCAATTTATTCCAACCGTATGTAGAATTTACTTCACGGAGGTTCGTCATTCGTGTATATATGTTAATAGCGTATATCTTAAAAAATACGTTTAAATTCAATCTACTAACAGATAACGCTTCATATTATAATAATTATATTAATTGTAAAGTTTGCAATAAGAGAAAAAAATATGTGAGTGAGTGGTCATCCAAGTTTTATAGTAAAAAAAATATATCACAAACATCAAAATTATGCTGGTTTTATCGGCTTCAGTGAAATATTTTAGAAAATTATTTAAAATTCTAGTATGTATATACTAAAATATTAAATTAAATTTTTATACAATATGTAAAAACACCCAGTCCAATCCGAAAGGGGCACCGCTAATATAGCAATGAGATTATGTATGTTATTAATGACATAAATAGGTTAACGTTATTCAATATACATTGTATTTTTGACTAAGATTTTAACTGCAATTTATTCATTAATTTAATACAGCAAATTTTTAAAACGTGGCGTCACCGTCGTCGGCGACGGTATCTTTAAACACGAGCCGTGTTTTTTTACCCGACGGCCGTGGTCGGCCTAATTGAATTTACTTTATTTTGGAGACGTTAAGTTATTGTATTTATTACGAGGTTATGTAAATTTTTTATTTCTTTTTCTGAAAAAGGATGACATCAACAAAATAATATGACAGTTGTTAAAAGCGCCATCACGGACTGGACGGAGTTTTTCCACATGTTGTACCTATATTATTACAATTACATTACATCATGTGAATTGAATATTAAATATATTTTAAGCAAGGTAGTTATTAACCTTATTCCGATAATTTTGTATATAAGAAGAAAAAATATAAAAAAAATTAGAACCGAATTTAAAGTTCCTTAGCTGTAACAAATTTTATCAGATATTGGAATCGGTCCAAAATAGAAAATAAATAAAATTTGTATATATTATAAGCAAATGTGATTTACTAAAACTATTATAAAAATATTATGCCAAAACTTCTGGTAAATAAATATTTTTTTATTACATGTTTGTATGTCATCATTTTTTTTAAATTATTCAAAATAATTATATTCCATAATATAGCCATTATTAAATATATTCAAACACAAACTATTGTTTGTTGTTTAGAGTAATTATCATATTCATTTTATATGACAAACATAAGTTAAACTTTTAACATTGAAGCAATAAAATTAAGTGATGTAATTTAAGCACCTATTGATTAATTTAATGAACAAATTATGGTTAGGAAGTCAATAAATAAAAGTAAATGTAAGTTGCTACTGATGTATAATTTTTAACCACAAGCAATATTTGTAGTGTTCATCAAATCAATCATCAAATGATTTGAAATTACAAAATATATGACAACATTGATAAATATATATTTACATAAACTCTATAAGAGCTTTCATCAAAAATGTAAAGCTCAAAAATTTGTCAACAACATTGTAATATCTATAAAAAATAAAATCTAATTTCATCCCCTGCAAACATTGATTTCAAAAATATCTCCTATACAAAATGTACAACATGTTCATAAGAAAATTTTTTCCATGGAACATTTTCACTGCGCTACGATACCGAGCCGATCGTGACGTTTGCAACCTCTGTAGCACACAATGGTAGTATATTGTCTCGATTATGACCATGCCAATTCAAAAATGTGTTTTAAATAAAATAGTATACCGGTCAACAAATTACATTAACATTAACGGTTAACTGTGTAGTAGTGTAAGAATATCCACCTCCCCATATTGTCCCGTGGGTCTCGTAAGAGTCGATAGGAGGAATCACACCAGGAGAGGGGCAGCAGTGTCTTTCTAATAACAACTTAAAAATAAAAAAATACCGGTTGTCAACCAACTACGGCTAAAATCCCCCTACGAGGTAATATGTGGGAGACGTCTATGGTCAGCAGTGGAATTGTGATAGGCTGTAACTGTTTACTGTGTAAATATAGGGAAGCTATTTTAAAATTGGTTGTGATATATATATATATATATAAAAAAATTAAACAGAGCTCTGAACTAGATACCTATAGGTCCTATATACCTAGATATACAGTATACATTCACTTTCACGTCTGTCTACTTGTTTGTATGTTCGGTACTAATCATGCAATCAATTTTAAAACTAGCCTTTTGATAAACCAGAAACTGGAAAGTAAAATTTAACTTTGAATTGGAAATATGGTAAAAAGCGGTTACCATTTTGAATTATAAGTATGTTGTAGAAATACATATTGGATAGTAGACGGCGGTATTGTTTCTTTAATGCTTATATCATGTGGCCGGCTACAATAGTAGTGTGTACATGAGGTTATCTGCCCGCCAATATCGGGTCGGTGTGGTGTCGGTCAGTGTGAAAGATTCATAATTTTCTTTTATAATTCAAAGACAGTTAAAACTGTATATGCATTATTCTGTTTTTAAACACTTATACTAAGCTTTTGACTGTTTTTAATAAATTAGTCACTTGTGACATTAGATCTGTATACTTGTTAAACATTTATATATTTATATAAAATTTACTAGTGTGCAGTCTTAACTAGTGGCTTCACATGAAGAGGCCCTGTAATCATCTATCCCTGTAGAATATCAGCGTACCCTACATTAAAAAGCTTTTAAGTATATAGGAATAAAATAACTACTCTGGTGGTGGCGGAGGAACCGGCGGAGGTGGCATTGCCGGTAACGGTGGCTGCTGGTGTGGCAACTGCGGTGGCGGATGTTGCGGATGTTGCGGCTGGTGGGGGTGTGGCGGTGGAGGCCCGTACATAGCACCATAGAAATACCCGTCCATCCCCATACCGTAGTACAGCGGGGGTGGCGGTTGAACAACATAATAAGGCAAAGGGGGTCTATAAGGAGGTGGTACGTTCCAATTGCCTACCTTAGGGTGCGGAGCTCCATTCTGACGCGACATCTTCGGCGGCGGACCGGGTTCGGAAGCTCCAGTTCGCTTTCTCGAAGTCTCGAGAACTTCTTTTGAGATCTTGATCTTGAGACCTGAAGGTTGGGGGGGCGGGAGAGGGACAGCCAGCCGTTCCTTCGGGATCTTTATCTTGAGTCCTGGACTAGTAGAGAATTTCTCTCTTGGTATTGTTATTCTTAAAGCACCATCCGCTATCGGCTCCGTTGGAGGAGGTTGAGGACTTGCCTCCTTCTTTTTCTCTTTGTCCTTGTCCTTTTTGTGTTTCTTCCTCTCTTCTTTTGACTTGTCTCGGTCCTTGTGTTTATGTTTCTCTTTTTTCTTTTTCTCCTTTTTGTGTTTGTGTTCGGAGGTCTCTTCTTGGGTTTGTGGTTGTGTGGGAACAGGGAGGGGTTCGGGCTGTACTGGTGGGGGAGCTGGCGCCGGTGGTTCAACCACAGGTTCACGCTTTACTTCGATGGGTGATTTAGGTTCCGTTGGAACCGTTATAGGAGCAGGCTTCGCTAGACTCTCTTTGAGTAAATTCGACACTAAAGTAGGATCTGTCTCTATACCATTGAGACTTCTAGTGGGCGGTTCAGGTTTCCTCTGTTCAGGCGGCCTCGATCTGATTGTGTTGCCACGCTGAGAGTCCCGTATCACGTTTTCGTACCCGGGGGTCTCGTCCAGCTTTTTAACGACCGGTATTAATTCCGGTTCGGAGGAGTTGGATGATGCCCGCTGCCTTGGCTGTTTCGGCGGCGGCTCTTTGACAGCAGGCGGGGATGAGAAAGGTGACAAAATGGCCGGCGGTTGCATCTCCCGTATCGCGGCTGTTGGATCTGGTCGTTTCTTATGCGGGCTAGGAGGTCTTTGTTCTTGAGAAATTGGTTGAGTGTGAACTGTTTGAGGTACTTGAACAGTGGGAGCAGCCACGGTTGGAGGAACTGTAGGCAGCGGACGTGGTTCAGGTCTGGGAGGTCTCTGTTCTCGGTTCTGGGGAGGCTGAGGCCTTCTTGGCGCTGCGGCTGCCGCTGCGGTGGGTGTTGTGGCATTTTCAGGCGAAAACAAAGATGGTGGACGAGTTCTTTGCGGAACAGGTTCTGGCTGAGGTTGAGATTGCGTTTGAGGAGGATGAGGTACTGCCGGCGTCGAAGTTGACGTTGTTGTAGGAGGAACTTGTGGGGGTCTATGATGTCTATGGTCGTGTGGCGGCTTGTGGTGGGGAGGTTTATGATGGGGCCACGCGTGGTGGGGTTTATGGTGATGTTGGCTAGAAGAGGGCCTTTGATGATGAGGTGGTGGCTGGGAACTGCCAGGTCTAGGCTGTTGAGAGGAGCTGGGCCTCGCTTGTTGCAAAGCTGCTTGCCTACGCTCTCTTTCTTCTCTTTCCCTTTTCTCTCTGTTTTCTCTGTATAAATTATAATCTATTTTCTGAGGTGGTGGAGGGTTAGGAGCAGGAGTTGTTGTTGCTGGCACATAACCGCCCACACCAGGTTGACGACGTCTTTCCCGCTCGTATTCTGTTGTTTAAAAAAAAACGTTTTAAATAATTAGAATCCACTATCCCATATCATCCCTTGGGTGTCGTAGGGCGACAGAGGTATACAGGGGAGCAGTATCTTTATTTATAACAACTCAATAATAACAATAGTAATAAAATACTACGGTTGCCAAACCACCCGCCAAGTGTATCCATCTATGGAAAATATCCTATGGCATACCTATGTATTTAGCAGGTGACTTTTAATAGGCTGTGATGTATGAATGAATAAATGAAAATCTTGCGAATGGAAAGGCATATGTTGTTTCCAAAAATCTAGAAAACTTCTATAAAAATGGACAAATAAAATAACGTTTTTTTAAGCCCCATTACTAATAAGATGGTAATGAAGAAAGATAGATAACCCAACCAACATTACCACATAATATGTAAAGTGGGCGCTAAACAAATCTGCTGCAAAGACTAAGGGCACTGCTTGCTAAATATAGTTCGAATTATTTACAAAATATACCTTACATAGTTGACAACTATTAGTTAGTGCTGATTTGGCTTACAGGCAGACTTATCATTATATGTTATAATAAAAACCTTTCAATTCAAAATGCTACAGAATCGCATACCTGTGTTCAGCAAAAGACTTATATTAAGCTGTGTTTGTTATAATGTTACTAAAAAGGAAGTTCATTGACTATCTGATTGACAAAATAAATTATAGATATGTCCATGTGGTAGCAGCTTCAGAAAATCCATTGCCACATTCTGTTCAGTGGATGTCATAAGAGTAAACTAAGGGGTATGTCTAAGGTAAGATCTGGTCTGACACACCAGGCTTAAAACATTCCAAAACCCTAATCCGGGCTTTTGATCGTAAATTAGCGTCAGAAGCCCTGGGATTAAGTAAAAATAAATTGCGCATTCTAGCAATAGCCCTGACTGGAGACTGTTGTCTTAAAAAGCACATGTCCATCCGGGGCTAAGCAACTCAAGGATGTGTCGGTTCTGTTCCATAATGGAAGAAACGCCTCTGCACATCCTAACTGATTGCGGACCCATGATGCGCAAACGTAACACTCATCTGGGAAACTATGTACTCCACTTAAAAGAAGTGAAATTGCACGGCTAAGCAATTCATATTATATTATACAAAACACATTCTACTTTTTTGTATATATTTTGAAATGGTTTATTTCAGTCAATACCGTAAAGCTTACCTTTATCAAATGATTTGTCGAATTCGTCGCTGTTGGGTGGCGGATGTTTCTTGTCAAATGGTGAACTAGGCACCCCTTGAGCAGAAGAAGGATGCGCGGCGTTCGAATGAGGTGAACTTCCGCCTGAGGGGCAACACTTTGGTAATATATCTGTTACATTATATTAAATCGAATTCGTCGCTGTTGGGTGGGGGATGTTTCTTGTCAAATGGTGAACTAGGCACCCCTTGAGCAGAAGAAGGATGCGCGGCGTTCGAATGAGGTGAACTTCCGCCTGAGGGGCAACACTTTGGTAATATATCTGTTACATTATATTAAATCGAATTCGTCGCTGTTGGGTGGGGGATGTTTCTTGTCAAATGGTGAACTAGGCACCCCTTGAGCAGAAGAAGGATGCGCGGCGTTCGAATGAGGTGAACTTCCGCCTGAGGGGCAACACTTTGGTAATATATCTGTTACATTATATTAAATCGAATTCGTCGCTGTTGGGTGGCGGATGTTTCTAGTCAAATGGTGAACTAGGCACCCCTTGAGCAGAAGAAGGATGCGCGGCGTTCGAATGAGGTGAACTTCCGCCTGAGGGGCAACACTTTGGTAATATATCTGTAACATTATATTAAATCGAATTCGTCGCTGTTGGGTGGGGGATGTTTCTTGTCAAATGGTGAACTAGGCACCCCTTGAGCAGAAGACGGATGCGCGGCGTTCGAATGAGGTGAACTTCCGCCTGAGGGGCAACACTTTGGTAATATATCTGTTACATTATATTAAATCGAATCCGTCGCTGTTGGGTGGCGGATGTTTCTTGTCAAATGGTGAACTAGGCACCCCTTGAGCAGAAGAAGGATGCGCGGCGTTCGAATGAGGTGAACTTCCGCCTGAGGGGCAACACTTTGGTAATATATCTGTTACATTATATTAAATCGAATCCGTCGCTGTTGGGTGGGGGATGTTTCTTGTCAAATGGTGAACTAGGCACCCCTTGAGCAGAAGAAGGATGCGCGGCGTTCGAATGAGGTGAACTTCCGCCTGAGGGGCAACACTTTGGTAATATATCTGTTACATTATATTAAATCGAATTCGTCGCTGTTGGGTGGCGGATGTTTCTTGTCAAATGGTGAACTAGGCACCCCTTGAGCAGAAGACGGATGCGCGGCGTTCGAATGAGGTGAACTTCCGCCTGAGGGGCAACACTTTGGTAATATATCTGTTACATTATATTAAATCTTTCTCATATAGTACCTAGTGCTAGTTAACAAAATTATTTTAAAAATGTATATTTTCTGTAGCGTCTTGTCTAGCATCTGGGTTTTGGTGAAAGAAATTAGCGCAAATTCATATACAATGGAATAAAATACTATTTTGTGTACATTAGGAAAATATTAGTGCAACAAAATATACAAATACTGAGGGAAAAGAAAAGGGGGTCTTAATGCTATTATTAATTTCTTTCAGACAATGTTAAATAAACGGGTAAGGTACACCATAATAACAACAATTTATGCACTAAAAAGACAACCGACTAGGCGATAGATCAGTGACCATAAATGATAGCAGGGAGGGGGAGCAGTTTAGAGAGACAATGTTCCTTACTTCAAATTTCCGATTAAATACACTCACCGGCACGGAAACTTGGCCAAGCGGTTATCTCGCGATAGCAAAAGCTTTAAGTGTTTCTGATGAATGTTTGTTATGCAAGTATGTCAAAAAATGTTTACCCTCAAGTTCAAGAGGGTAATTCATTATGTTTAAGTGCACCATGACGAATTCCTTAATTTTTAGTTGAATCGGGTCATTTGAGCGACTAAGTTCACATTTTAAATTTGTGTGTTGTGAAAAGTTTACTGTAAGGTTATTCAATTATTGTGATCTTGTGTCTTAATTAAATAACTAAAGGTGCTTTAAAGCCAATAAAAATGCCATTAACACCAGCACAAGTTGCACAAGCAGTAGCATTAATTGACCAAGGGCTGACACAGCGTGAAGTTGCTATTGTGCTTAACGTACCACGGTTCTCAATGCAGTATTCACTGAAACGATACCAGGAGACAGGCCGCTACACCCGCAGGCCAGGCAGTGGGGGCGTAAGGTGCACATCGGCCCGGGACGATCGTTTTATTGTTATGGAGATTTTGAGAAACCGCTGTTGAGATACGCCAGCGGCTCCAAATCGCAAGAGGCGTTAATGTTAGTGAGCGTACGGTGAGAAGACGAATGGAGGAAGTGAATTTAAAAGCTCGTAGACCAGCACGAGGTCCAGAACTTCTCAGACAGCACCGAGTAGCCCGACTTCAGTTCGCAAGAGAACATGTCAATTGGACCCACGAGCAATGGGCTAGAGTGTTGTTCACAGATGAGTGTCGAATAGCTTTACGTGCTCCAGACGGTCGAGAACGAGTGTGGAGAAAAAGAGGAGAGAGGTTTCTACCCATTACCACCACCCAAACTGTGAGTTTCCATGGAGGCTCAATAATGATATGGGGAGGTGTAAGTTCCGACGCACGTACAGTTGGTCATCGTCGATAATCGGCTTACAGCTACTCGATACATCGAGGAAGTTCTTCAGGAGCACGTAATGCCTTATTCGGGATTCATTGGAGACGACCAATTCCTCCTCATGCACGATAATGCACGCCCGCACGTCGCACATTATGTAGAGGAATATCTGGAAGAGGTTGGAATACAAAAATTACAGTGGCCAGCTCGTAGCCCGGACTTAAATCCAATTGAGCATGTATGGGGTATGCTCAAAAGAAAGATAAAGTCCAGCTCCAAACCGCCACAAACTCTAAATGAGCTCCGAAATGCAGCGCTGGCCGCTTGGGACAGCATACCGCAAGTTGATGTCAGAAACTTCATTCAAAGCATGCCAGATCGAATGCAAGCGGTTATCAGGGCTAGAGGAGGAAACACCCGATATTAAAACTGATAGACAATAAAGAAACAGACTTAATTTTTAACTTTGTAGTGTTTTTAAAGTGACAATGGAAAGATGTTAATTTTAGTGAAAACATGTTATCTCGAAAAGAAAAATTTCGGTGAAGTAAACATTAAATTTCTATGTTCTAAAACCATTAGAGACACTTATTGAATGCATCTACCCTTAATTTACTGTTAAAAAAACGTTTCAGTGCAAATAATCAGCAAATTCACGAGTGGCCAAGTTTCCGTGCCGGTGAGTGTATATGATTGTATGGCATTTGCACTAATAACCTGCTACTGAACAAACAATTAACTAATCGTTTATAGAATCAGGCGTTATTTTACGGAAATCCATTGTTAGTGGTGATCGGGATAGTGCAAGCAATGGAGGGAGGGTGGAAGGTGCACTTCAAATCAAGGAAGCTGTGACCAAGAGTGGACTATTTAGGGGTTGTAAGATATTTATTGGTACATTATAACTGTACTAACTGTTATTAGACATGGTCATCATTTTCCTCTTCAGGCGCGACGGGCACTTGTCGAAGATGTGAAGGAACTCTGCAGTGAGCCGCTCTAACAGCTCCGAAGTCACACTACGGTCCACGTAGGAAAACCAGTGCCGACCTTCGTGTGATTGTGGGATCTGTGTAAAGTTGCAATAAGTTACAGATTTCACTGTAAAACGAAAATTTCTCAAATAAAAATAATGACTGTGTATCGACAGTTTTTGAGGTAATATCAAATAATATATATATATATATATATATATATATATATATATTATTTGACTATGAACTACAAATATTTATAACATCCAAAAACTAAACCAGTCTTAATTTATTTTAATTTAGTGATATATATATATATAAAGAAATTAATAATAGCATTAAGACCCCCTTTTCTTTTCCCTCAGTATTTGTATATTTTGTTGCACTAAAAAAAAAAATATATATATATATATATATATATATATATATATATCACTAAATTAAAATAAATTAAGACTGGTTTAGTTTTTGGATGTTATAAATATTTGTAGTACAAAGATCTTTAAATTTATAAATACATATGTATATGTTTAAAAGCTCGCCAATCAACAAGTCAAAAGCCAAACAACAATGTAATCAAATTGCCCACCAACAAGCTGCCTACTTTGCTTTACTAAGTGGACCCATGACAAGTCTGCTAGGTGATTTAAGTTTTAATTTACCAATTAAGTAAATCTTACAAATTAAGTTAGTCTGGGTTGGAAAATTAGGTTTACATATGGTGACTTTCACAGCCTCAACTATTATTAACTTATATTTTGGTTAAAATATCTTTTAAGTTATAAAAGGTCGATTAAAAAAAATACTTTTACTAACCGACCAGTTGCTCCATTTGGACGCCAAATGTATACAGAAGCAAGCGACAACCGTTGGCCTATACTGCAGGCACATTGTAGTCAAATGGAGACTATTTGACGCCATGAAATAGGAAGTCTGCGCCAGATCCTTGGGCGCTGAAATAGATAAAACTATACCGTTAGTAATTATTTAAAGAAAGTAACATATCAGCGACATCAAAGCAAAAGATAAGTTTTAATGTGGTAGCTTTGATACAAACTTATATAGTAGATGTTTTATTTAAAGAAAACGGGCGAGCCTTACTCAGCTGCTAAGAAAAAGACATTAATTATTTTGACACAACACTTTAAACAACTTTTCTCCGTTCACTTTCCATGTTCACAGTACTCGATAGTAATTTTTGACTCCCGACTTTAAGCACCCTAATCAGTGTACCTACACTACAAGTAAGACCAACCCGCCATTGTAAATTTTAAATACCTATTATAATATTATTCAAATCTATTTATCTACTGCTTATTAAAGAAAAATTAAAAGGTATAATCTACAGAATTCAGGAAATATGGTTAATATGAGTTAGGTAATTGTCCAATGCTGTAACACATATAAAGTTCATCATAGCCAAATTGAATACTTATGGGTGTTTTCTTTTTCTTCAAAAATTATTATTATACAGACATTAAGAAACTTGTAACATGCAAGAATATGGTAGACGAAATTTACTAGACAATATGTATAGTTATGGAAATAAGTCTATTTATTTAAAAGAAACCTATGTATAAAATAGTAAAGGAGTTAACAACCCTAATATATTATAACTGCTACAACATAAGCTAATAAATATGTACACAAAAGGGAAAATAATTTTAACACTAATGAATAAATAGACTTCTAGCCGCAACTATATCCCAGCTAGGGCGAAAAAGTTTGCGGTGGTTATGTGCGTGAATGGGGTGGACACACAAAAGTTTATTTCAAGATATTATATCACATACCTCTTGCTTGTAGCAAATATGCGTGATACCATGCCCGTAGTGGATCGCGTCATTTTTTTGTTCGGATCGCACGCGACAAGTCTAAGCGGTATTTCAGAAAGGGATGTGTTCTTTTTTAACAAATTTGTTCCCCTTCAATGTAGCGTAAAGAAACCTATTTCTTTTAATTAGAAACCTATTTTTATAAACGATTCTTGAAGATTTTCACACCTGCACATTGTTATATTAAAGATTGATCTGAGATATTTCCATTTAAAAAAAATCAAACAAGCGAAAACATAAATAGTTCTAATGCCAGATTTAAAAGGAGTTAGCCTTTTCGTAGGGCAGTACCTATACTTTTGACAAAGCATTTCAACTTCATATTAGTAGTGATATCCACGAATAGAGCAAATTCAAGTAATTGAATATAACTGTTACATGTTACAAAATACTCATAATAATTTGATTATTTTAAAAATTATAAACCAACTTGGATTATAATTTGATTTCGTTGGAACTTCAAAGAAACACTGTGAAAGCTTCCTCTTTTGACAAAAAAGTAGCAAATTAGCCATCTATTCTTGGAGTTGGTTTTGAGTTTGGTCATAAAGTAAAGACATATTTTATATTGTTGATGTACTTCGGGTATTTGGAAGATGTTATATGAAAATAGCCAACAGAGAAGGCAAACAAATATAAGTATAAAAAAGAACGACATACCATTCTAAAACTACTACCGCAATAAATTTAGACCGGCCGTACGCTAATCCAAGCGTAAATTGAAACGCGCCCGCGTCATTGCACATAGAATGGAATACGCCCACATCGCAGCCGTGTAACGGAACGTATGTCCGAACGGCTCAGTAGGCGTTCAACTCTCGACGCGTTTGGACGCTTGTCTCACCTTTGACAAGGTGACACGTGCGTACAACGTGCGTGTGCGGGTGGTCGATCGCGACATCGAAACCTAACGTCTGAAGGAGTACGTTCTCGTTGAATACCAGGTCCTGCGCCTAAAACAATGACGATATTCATATATAATGGCTAAAGTCCCGCAAAACGTAATATGAATTAACAATAATGGCCTATTATATGATACCTGTTCTTGATACTGTTCAGAAGTAAGAGCATTCACTCCCTCACCCCTGTGGAGGCAGACATGTGCTACCTTTATTACATATTCTAATTTTCGTGGTTGTTCCTCCACCTGTTAACATTACATGAAATATTAGTTTCTTTACAATAATGAATAAGAAGGGTACAGCTAATTAATTACTGTAAATTTAATTTTGTCATTGATTTCCAAAATTATATTTGAAATAGATATCATTATAATCATAAAAAAAAACAAAACAAACAATATTTATCTACACCGTATAATATAAAATAGGACAATACTTTTCTGCTTCAGCTCAGCAGTGCACATTATAATATTAGGTATAGGGTAAAATAAAAAGTCGATGGATGCAGGTGGCTCAAGACGGTGCTTTGTGACATTTCTTAGAGGAGGCCTATGTTCAGCAGTGGACTTGCGAAAGGTTGTAATGATGAAGATGAAAATAAAAGGATAATTGCAATTTCATACCTTTGCCGCGAGGAAGAGTGCCGCCGCGGCGATAGCGTTTCTGTGAAACTGTGTGAAGGAGTGGAAGGCATAAAACCGATGCATATACACAATTGCCGTGTTGATACATAGTTGTGAACTGAAAAACTGCTGTTAAGGAAATGCGGAAATAAACTTCATTCTAAACATATAAGAGAAATTTTATTATTTATAATATAAGAACTAATATTCATGATACATGTAAATGAATGTAGAAATCAAATATAAACAAGAATATATAAATATTAAGTAAACTACTAGCTTAATGTGCGTAAAACGATACATCGTAAAACATGAAATTTATTACTCAATACTATGTTTTTAGCACCAGAAACTTAGCAACCAAAGACGGACGGAACTCCCATTAAAGCTCCCAGACCTGTGTGACCTTCACGTCGTATCATATAGCATCATGAAAATTCTTCGCATATTATATGAAATGACAAAGTAACTCTTGTTTACTATAAGTCAAAAGACCTGATCTCGTACTATTTACAATCCACAACTCTCACAAACATACACCATATTTCAAGGTTTATATTTTTCTATACAACAAGCACACAGGTCAGCTGATGGTAAGTGGTTGCTGTGACCCATGAACTGTGGACACCAACCAACATTTAGCCTCGATTAAGAATCAAAATGTTAATGGGGGGAAACACAGGATTCATACAGAATAACTCATTGCCAGCAAAAACGGTCTCCGGTTCTCTGTAAGTAGTCACCATATGAAACAGCAGTTTCGTGGTTAGAGCTGCAACCATAATATAGTTTAGCACCACATTGTAAAAAAGGAATGTGTGTACGTGTATATGTGAATGTAGTGGAGCCATGCTGCATCTATATTATGGTTGTAGCACGAATATGTCTGCTCGACCGGGTAGGACCACGCTCTAACAGAATACCAGTGTAAAATAGTAGCTTAATGCTGCTGTGTTTTGTATGGTAAGTGTAGAGAACCGGAGACCCTTTCTACTGGAAATGAGGCATTCCATCTTAGTCCTCAGGGGTGACAAACACAGTATCCACTTACCATTAGATGGGCTGTGTGCCCAATTGTCACCCTATAAAAAAAAATATAGTCATTACACATGGTTCTCAGCCGACACGTCGTTACAGGCGTTTTTAAATGCACTTCAAATGAGTTTATGTTTTATTTGAGACAAAGAAATTTAAATATAAATAATACAAGAAAAAATATTAGAATATTACTTTCGTCGAACCTTTAAGTTTAATATGAATAAAACTCATTGTGGGAGGACCATGAACACTCTCATCATGATCTTCGAAGGAGCGTTTTTTATTGATCGCGTGTAACGAGTAAGTACTGATAACGGCATTCTGTCTGTAGAACAACTGCTGTATGTTAACGTCACGTCCTTATCGGAATTCTCGTCGTTCATTGAATGCCATTCAGCCAAACTTGTAACAAAGAAATTATTTTTATTATAATCACATTGTCTTGGATTACTTCTTATTCTTATTTTTAAACTTAATGTTAGTTTAATATTTTAGCAAACTTACATAATAACTTCATCTGACCCAGCTTTAGGCAACTGCGTCATTTTTTACGCGGTAAATTTTTTGCGGCCGTGTGCAAAAAAGTAATACCGTACGTGTCCCGGTTACAGCTTGCTTTCACTATTGTTAGGAATGCTTCTGTCGAGAGTTTCGACGCTTTTGTTATATGTACTTGGTCGCAAATATTTCGCTTTGTTAAATTTGCCCGTGTCCACGTAAATTGTAAATATATTTTTCGCGCTATTAACCTATATAAACTTAGTAAAGTTGCCAATAACACTATGTATTGAGAACATTAATTTCTATTTCCTTCCTCCCACTGTGCTTTGCCGCAAACGCCACGCTTGGTAGTTTGAAGTGGCGATCACAGCCATCCCGCATCTAGGCAGGTAGCTGCTTCCCGTCGGGTATTTTAAGTTTATTATAAGTCAGTGCTTGACTACGATTATACCCGATAGTAAGTAGTGATGTAGTAAAAAATGGCTATCATCTACGTATATATTGTTATACTGGTACCAATCGGAAGCCATGACCTTCATGACATTTTGCGTGTTATGCATTCTCTTGCGTTCAAAACATTAAAAATCAAAAAACCACTTACTTACAAGTTACAACCGACATTGACATGTGATAAAATTAAAAATTTTATACAACTGACTTCAATACAAATAAAATTAACGTCATCAATGTAGTCAGGTCAATTAAATACGCATTATTAAGGATAACTCATGAACTTGCTCATGAATATGCTTAGGTCTTGATTAAATTTATATTTATATTTGAAATAAAAAAGAATCATCAAAATCAGTTTATCTAGAAAAAAGTTCTGAGGTAACACAAAAAAACCAGTCGAATTTATTACCTTCTACTTTTTTTTGAAGTCGGTTAAATACCTAAAATGGAAATAGTACAGATAATCATAATCTAAATTAAGTGTTTGGTTTAGCTGAACTTGATACAAAACATTTAAAAAAGGTAAACAAAACATTAATTATCACGATAAGGTGAGTCATGATTCATGAATGCATTTACCGCGTTATTTTAAAGCTCTAAAACGTATTTCAATGCAAATCAATGTTACATTTCTCGACTCAAAGCGGTCCAAACTCAAAAGTAGCAAAAATGATTCATTGATGATTTACTCTTAATTTCACTCGCTTTCATTGATGTAATATTTAGAACCTTCTAAAAAAATCTGATAAATATCTAGACTTTCCAATGACCTTAGAACTTTTGTTGAATCAAAGTGAACTCTAGAAAACTCTAACTGAATTCAGAAGTCGAACTGTATACGATTCGATCCCAAGAAAATACTATTGCCGCTTGCACACTTGAGATTCGAAAGTATTGGCCATTCTGATTCTGTTTCGCAAACAGCGCATTAAATGACTTTCAATAACACAAATGCCTTAATTTTTGTAATTGTTAATGCATACGAAGACGAAGGGGAAATAGAAATAAAGCGTTCTGGATACAGGATGTTTCACTACTCTTGGTGAATCGACTTTTAAGAGTGACATTTTAAAATAATCACGACGAATTAAGACATTACATCAAATAATTTTGTAATTATTTCTATGTAACCACGCCGTTACCGTTATACTCTATTAAAGCCCACAGCTGAACATAGGCACCCCACATAGATTACCTCATAGGGGGGATATTTGCCAGTTGCCACGCTTGGCAAGCAGATTGGCAACTGCAGTTTTTTTTAATTTTTGTCGATATTATGAAGACGCTGCTGCCCATCTCCTGATTTGTTCCCGTCTGTCGCGTCTTACGACACTGGATGATATAGGGCAGTGAATATTCTTACTCTGCCACTACATGGTAAGGTATCTATTTTCGAATTCATCTATCAATTTGTCTTTTTTTTATTATAGAAGAGGGGGCAAACGAGCATGCGGCTCAACTGATGTTAAGTGACTACCGCCGCCCATGATCAACCGCAACACCAGGGGAATTGCAGGTGCGTTGCCGGCCCTTTAGAAAGGAGTACGCTCTTTTCTTGAAGGTCCCCAGGTCGTACCGGTCCGGAAAAATCGCCGGTGGTAAACTATTCCACAGAGAGATTGTACACGGAAGAAAACTCCTTTTGAAACGTACAGTTGTGGACCGCCAAGCATACAGATGGTGTAGATGGTATCGGGACGTTTGCTGCGTAGCGCGTTCACGAAATTTGGCGGCTGGGATTAATCCGAACAATTCCTCAGAGCACTCTCCATGGTTTATACGAAAGAAAATGCAAAGAGATGCAACATCTCTTCACAGTGCCAGTGAATCGAGCCGATTCATAAACATCCAGTCCCATAAACAGCGTTCATTTGCAACACAGTCAATTAACATAAATATATCGAATGGAAACATGGTGAAATATTGAACATGCTTTGTTCAAAGAGTATACATACAATCATATAGTAAGTTAGTCTGGCCGTAGTGTGCACAAAAATATCGATACCTGCTCGGCTAGCCGATTCGGACGAAGTACAATACTGTGGTTATTTCAGCAGCCCCTCATACAAATAGTATAATGGCTACTTTTCGATCAACATTTCCAGATTTAGATCAGATGCATTGCACAAACTAAACTATGAGGCAAACTATGGGGTAAGCCTATGTTATGTACTGTCAAACCACTACGAGGGTGACACTGAAAGTTTTTAGAACTGGCCACTTGTAAACGACATAATGAAAAAATATATAATATTTCGAACATGGAACTCTTTGCCAATATTATTGTGTACCCATGTATTTTATTCATTTGTCATTTGTTTACGATTTGGTGGCAAATTTAAAATTGTCTGTGTCACGTCAGCATGAATTTAACGCGAGAAAATTTTCGTACAGTCCGCACGGATAAAGAATGGGATTATAAATGGCGGCTCGTCGAGCCCGTATCGTCAACAGGCACAGTGCTAATAACGATAACCCGCTAATAACGATATATCGTTATAGCGTTTTATTATTCGGTTAGTTGGAAATTTTCTATTAATGGGAAAATATTTGAAAAGAATTGTATACGAGTAGGTACATTAATTTTAAAAAACAATAACTAGCGACCCGATTTGGCTTCGCCTGGGTGGGATCTATTAAGGCGATACCTCCAGCGAACGACCTTGAGCGTTTGGTCTGTCGACGCTCGCTACAATATATCGTGTAAGAAATCGCCAAAAGACGCCACCTACTGCTACGAACGTAGTATTATTTTTTCAATGTCAATGAACTATTCTATGGAAATAGACACGGCGTACAATGATAAATGTATTTTAATTTTCTTTATTCGGTATATTAGTTGCATTATATTAGAATTATGTATTCTAATATATTATCTAATTAATAAAAATGACTATTTTGATTATTTTTAACTATATACTATACTGCTAATATTGAATTAGCTTTTTATAGTGTAAATTATAATATTTGTCGAAATATTAATTATGGATTCGAACTTTACATGCTAATGGTGCTTCATTTTTGTTATTTTCATTTACTTACATATTGAAAATATACTTGAATAGTAGGTATTATTATTTTATTTAGCTACTGAATTTTAGGATATGTTTTACCTTGAGGTCAAAT